TAATTTATGAAATTTTTCCTTCGGCTTGCCCCGTTATGGAGCTTTGCAGAATGGAGAAAAATAAAAAAATAGAAGAAGAAAATCATTTGCCATTTCCGTCTGGCTCTCTGCTCTGATTTGATTTGAAATTTCAATTTGCCGCGGACCTGTGGGGAGCAGTGACACGAACCGTTAGATCGCTTTTGCTCTTTTGCGGTTGTCCAATGGCTTTATGTTGGCGTCCGTTCCAGTTTTTTCAGTTTTGATATCAACTTTTATTAGTAGATGATATTCCCAAGGGTATTACAGATCATAAGAAGTATACGACTATAGGGGATTTTGTAACGAAATGAATTCATTAACCCTTCTCTTTGGGGGTAAAATGCCACTGAACCCCACAAACTGTGGCATTTTGTTTTCAATTGTATTTTGGTTAATTTCCACATTCATTTGCAAATAGTCTCTACCAGATTGCTATCCCATAAAGATAAGGAATTTGTCCAGTAGATATGACAAATCAAAAAAACAAGAAATATCTCTTAAATATATATGTACTTATAAAAGCACAGAGAGCAGTAAATGAAAATCAACAGTTAGATGAGAGATCTCTAATGAACTCTGAATTACTTTCACCCGAAAAAATAAACAACAATTGAACTGGTGCTCTAGAAAAAGGCCACAAATACAAAAGGCCAGGCCAAATATTATCAGTGAAACGCGGCCCCACAATCTTTAACACCTTTTGATGATCTAATAAATGCGACATGATTTTCAAAAAAAAAAAAAAAATACCACAGGAATTGAGAACAACGTAAGAGAGAGGTGGCCAGGGGAGGGGAAAACACATACACATCATGAACCATGAGAAGGCCATATATGACGACGAGTACTAAGCCCCCTTATATAGGAATACATACATCATCATCATCATCATCGTCCTCTTACATACAAATATACATAGTTCAACTGGCACTTGGACAAACAAGGCGATAAGACCCCGCGACCAGAGAGCACAACACTTGAGATACAAGAAATCACGTAAAAAAGGCAGCTGAAACAGACTGAACTCGAAACTGAAACTGAAACTGAACCAGAGCAAAGCAAAGCGATGCAGATACAGACACTACTATCTACTATCTATGGAATAATAATAATAATAATGTGACTAAAATATAAGGGTGAGAGAGTAAAAGGAAACGGTCAGGGAAAGGTTAAGTTTGAAAAGGTGTATAACTCACAAAGATGATCTATTTGAAATAAGTTGAATTACAAAATTTCCAAAGTAAAGATTCCAATAGAACCCTATAAATAATAAACCCATTGAACTATCTTTATTTGCTTATAAAGTATACTTCTAAGTCCCTCTTGTGATGAAATAATCTGAGGTTTCTAGAAGCTCTATCCCTATCCCTCTAGTTCAAAGTTCCCTCGCAACTCATAGTATATGAACTACAAAGAATATAATATAATAAGCGTAAAGTTTATAATCTTTAAATTAAATACCTACTTCGATTTTGACCAATCAAATTCAAGCTACGAAATCGCTTCAGTTCAATTTCGGTTCAGGGCCCTGTGCCATAGATAGGCCAAATCGATGCCAGTACCGCGTGTTGCCCTGATACGGGAATCCAACGGGGAGCGGGAACGGAGACCCTATTTATCAGTTTCGTTGCGTTGGTTATTACCTTCTTGACTTTTTGATACACTCTCGCACCACACACACACATATTACTTCTCTCGAAACTGGGGAACAAAGGTTGAACCCTGTGTGGTGATAACAACAAAAGCCCAGGGTTTGCTGAAAGGGCAAAGAGGGAGCGAGGTGCTTATTTGGTTTTCAAATGAGGTCAAAAGAAATAATAAAATACAACTGATAAGGTGAACTACGCTCCATTCATGCAAGTCAATTTTTGGGGCTGGGGCTGAAATCAACTATCGATGATTGTTTAGGGGTTAAGTTTGCTTTATATATATATATATATTCTCGATTTTTTTTGGGACTTTACCCAAGGTCTAGACGGTTGAGAGCGTGTATGTGACCCTTCATTGGCAGCTGTCTAGGTCATCGCAATTTGTCGCAATTGTAATTATTGCATGAAAAATGGTCACATGACAGGTCGCCAGCTGTGTTTGCCACTGCCTTATAGTACGGTTCATACATATAAGTACATATGGCAATGAACTGTACCGCCTTTAGAATCACCGCCACCCCGGTCTGCTCCTCCTCCTCCTCCGACGATTTCTATGGACGTGCTTTTGGGCTCGGTCCCAAGTCTCAATGGCGGCGTCGTCTTCTATTAGTACTATTGACACTTGTCGACCCGGCCGAAATGCGGCCTGTCACTGTGCGGATCACTCACAGATACCACCGATACCCAATCTCACGCTCAGGTATATATGGAACCCGGTGGGGAGAAACATATATGTACACATATATATAACGTCCAACTGGAAAAAGTCAACAGTGTCGCGCATGGCACATGTTGGGTCGAGGTCTCGCACTCTCTCTTTCTCTCTACCCCTCTCGCTTCCTCTGCCCTATCGGTTGCTACTTCCAGCGTCATTATCATCATCATCATCATCATCGTCATCAGCTTTCGACATTCGGCATTCGGCATTCGGCACTTAGCACCATTGGCACCAAGCGATGCCAATCAGAGGTCTCTATGGGGAGCACGCTGACCGCGCAAGGCGGCCAAACGATCGGGCTACGAAAAATAAAAAATAAATAAAATAAGCAGCCAAGGCACAGTGGTACTAAAATATACAAACATTAAATTACAAAACAAGAAAGGAAATTAACTTCTAGAAGTCATAGTTTATACACCCAAGCAGTGTTTAATTGAATTATAGGATTGAATCGGAAATCCATCATAACTTAAGCTTAAAATATTAGCATTATTTAAATCGATATTAATAGATACTTCATAATACTACATGAAAATTTTTTCGACAAATCTAAGATTAAAAACCTCCCAACTAAGCCTGAAAGGGATAAGTTTAATTAGGAAATCTTTCGAATGTTACTTTTTATTAGGCTAATTAATCTGTATACTTAATTTAGCATTTAAAAAATTATTATTTTGCCAATTTTTTACTAAAATTATAATACCCTGCGATGGTATAAACGTAAGAATTATTTGCGGATTTAATTTTTACAAAGTTCAAGATGATTCATTTGTAGAAACAAAGATCATTGTGCGAAGAGAAATCATCAGTTGTTTCAATGTCAGGTTAAGATGCTTTATTTGTTTTGTTACTGATTTTAAAATGTATTTATTTAAATTATATTAAATTACTGGCAAATTGTTCCTAAATTTATAAATATTTGCAACTAAGATTGTATTTATAAATACTTCTAAACTTCTTTCTTTTTCTCTGAAAAATATCTGCATTATAATCGTGCGTAACACATTATATTAATATTGCTAATTTAGGGCTTAAAAATCTTTGTCAAATTAAAATAACATTGCTAATTTAAGACTTAAAACGCTTTGTAAATATTGTAAACAGAACTTTGATCTAGACAAATTCCAAGTTAGTTAAACAAGTTACATCCACTGTAGGGCGGTTTATTTTAGTTTTTTCCCCTCTGTCATGGTGTATCCACAACTTAATTTCTATGCTAACCAATGATAAACTTAATTTTATGATAACGCACAACCAACTTATTAAAACATACGCATATACATAAATATAAACATTTATATACGAATATTCCGAGATCGTCCAATCGAATCCGAATCCAGAAGGGTTGAAATTTGATATGAAACAAAGCGGCGGGGATCAACATATCTCTCTAGCTTTTCGAGACTGTTTTCAATGCAATACCAAACTACGATTCTGGTTCTGTTTTGATTCGGATCGTAACGAGCTTAAAACTACAAATTGTTGTTAATTTCGCTTGTAAATATTTCATTTAATTATTTATGCTGTGTGCTTTGGCTGCTAAACATGCGAGCCGAGCCGAGCCGAGCCGAGCAGCCGGGACTGGATCTGGCACCAGGTCTGGTCTGGGTCTGGCTTGGGGATTCGTTTGGTTTGGGATTCGAGTCTGGAACTGGTGGTGGTGTGGCTTCCGTCAATTTACACCTAACGTCCATCCTATAATACCCCTCATCTACATATACCCTTACCTTTGGGGAGCAGGTAGAGGTCAATGCTTGTGCACGCATCGATACACGTATTTGCTTTTTAATTTTTGCCAGTTAAATTACAATTACAATTAAATTTATTTATATGTGCCAGGCGAAAGTAAATAAGCAATGGGGGAAAAATACCTAGTATAAATAATAATTGTAAACAATTTTTGTTCGAGAGAAAAGAGAAGCTTAAACAGCATTATAAGAGTTTATTGTTGTATATGATATTGGTTTTAGGTATTTCTTTATATTTCTGTGGAATTTTTTGTTACTTTATTTGAGATATAGAAGTGTATTTATTACAAATAAATATCAACTCCACGAATTAATTATTTTCTTAAATAATTTCACTTTATTTAGAGCTTAGTTTATATAGTTTTTTTTTTACCTTTTTTGGTTCAATAAGAAGTGAGCCTTTTGTTCCCAAAAATGTCTTAAATATTTCAACTGTGGCACTGTTTTTTTTGTTGCTTTTCCAAATCGCACTCTGCCTTGCCGTACGTAGTGTGATGTGCACTTGACGGCCCCCTGGCTCACCCCGATAATTAACTTAAGGGTTCAACGCAGCAGGTCATTGGTTTTGTTAACATATTATAAGTTATCTTAACCTTTGGCCGATTTGCATGCGACAAGGCGAGCCTCGAGCGAGCGTTTTTACACCACCAACCAAGTGAGTGTGTGTCTCAGTCGACGGGTGTGTGTCGATTCAGAGTGTGTTCCTATGAGTACTGCGTGTTCGTTACACAAAAAAGAATGCTTAGTGAACATATAAACACAAAGGAATTATTTCGAGTTGTTGAAAGCACTTTTCCAAGTGATTTTCCCACCTAAGACCCTCTATGACTAACATAAACTTTTCTATTTGATTTATGTTAACAGGTAACGCACCCACAGACATTCTGCAGCAGAAGCCCGCCAAGGCCACCACCGCCATTGTGGGCGGTCGCAGTGCAGCCCAACCCACGGCCACCCACGAGGATCATCAGCAAGCGGCCACCAGTGTCGTCACCAAGCGGAAGCACCTCGAACGGCTTGCCAGCGATCTCCGGCAGCTGGGACAGGGTCAGGGTCAGGCCAGGAGCCATCATCATCATCACCAGGAGCTCCAAGCTAAGATGCTCAGCGAGCGATCGCTGTTGCTCAGCGGATATGGAGCCATCGAGAGCAGTGCCAAGAAGTTGAGTGAGGCGGCCACTGGGGGTGGTGGTGCGGCGGGTGGGGCGGTTAGTCAGGCTGCCACGCCCACAACCACCCACCTGGGCACCACGTCCTCCTCCTCCTCATCCTCGCCGGCATCGTCTTCGAACGCAAATACAGCCTCAGTGGCTGCCGCCTATGCTGCCTTGTATTTGGAGAAGGTCAAGCATGAGAAGTTGTCGCCGCAAATGGATAACCATAAGGATGTGATGATGGAGGCCAAACCCATGGTTACCATACACAACAACAATAATAATAACACTGTTAACAATAACAATAGTAGCAACACCGGAAGTGGCAGCAATCATCAACAATCGAGTCAACAACAAACACATTTGGGACTCAGTGTAAAGAGAGAGCGTCTTAGTCCAGGGAGCAATAGCAGTAGCCACAACGGTGAAGTTACCGTCAGCTCATTTGCCAGGTGAGTTGGATATATATATATCAGCAAGGATATAGGATAGATATAGCTTCGACTTGGGTCTCAATGTTTTCGGGAGCCACTTACAACACCTTTTTATGGTGGCTTATTGGGTTTTAATGTCACTATGTATTGTAGGGTTGATCGTGTATGCGTACAAAATATGTTTGTTTAGTTGCTATTTAGGTTTTCTCTTATCCTCCGTTCTTGGCGGTGAATAACTAGCACTGGACAACTCCTGCTCCTCGTCATCCGACATGGTGCACTGTTCGGTGTGTTGATGCATTTGACTATAGTGCTCCCGTCGCATCTCCAGGAAGCGTATCCTTCGACGATGCCTTTGCTCTGGGGTCTCGTTTTGCAAGTTATCCCTATCCTCATCCGGCAAAGAGATGACTACGGAGGGTGACTCCGTGAGCAACTGTCTCGAGGCAGTCGCATTTCGCAGGATGGAAGCCGTGGCACTGATGACACGGATTTCATCCTCCTCGGCGGCATTATTGTCCGACTGCCTTCGTTGCTCCGACATATTACACGAAAGTTGGAGAATACAATTGTGATTTTTGTGTTAAGTGTACATTATATCCCCAGCCAAGCTGTTTTTTTTTCTTTCTTTAAGGGTATAGGATAGATTTTCCATTTATCAAAACGAATTCGATTGGCGGCTGTCAGCGCCTGACAAATTAATTAACATTTTAATAAATTAATACCACGAAAAGAAACCAAATCGATGCGGCTTCTGTTCGCGGCCAACAGCAAATTAATCAAACCAAACAAAAACCAGCCAACACGAATTTATATACACAAACACACACAAGACAGCACGCTTCTGCTGTCAAAAAGAAAAAAGAAGGCTAATAACAAAGAACCCGGCCAAGAAAAGACAAAAAAGAAAAACAAACTGAAAAACTTGAAATGTAAATGTACGAAAAAGACTAAAAAATTAACAAGATAAAGACAGAACAAGCAAATGATTTGACAAGCGAGATCAGCAGCAATTAATACGCGCAACTAAATTAATGGCGTTAAAGATTATATATTAACTAATATAAATAAAGGCAATTTATCTCGCCAAACTCGAAGCAAGCCTAAGGCCTCAGCTCAACAGATGGCTAGAAAGATACAACAAAAAAGATACAAGTTCGTAGATACGTTTTGGCCATATTAATATTAATGAGACATGCCAAAGCTGCTTGGTCTATCGCCACCTGAGGTGTGGACGTTGAGTGGCTCGAACTCACGATAGATTTCAGATTCGAACTTGGACTTAACATATTCGATCCGCACCTGGTTCCCAGATCTCGCCCGGGGTGGTCGATATTGGGATTAGCCGCATAATTTTCATAATTTATAATTGTTTGGCCACAAATTAGGAACGCTTATTAAGTCAGTCACTCGAAGATGCCTTAATACGATATGACAAATGGATGTCTTCTCAGAGGGTGAGGCAAAGATTCTTCTTATACTCATAGTCTGTGTTTATATCATAAATAAATCGAAGAAATCCAAGTGCAAATTGAATGCAAATTCTTACATGACGCACAAATATTTATCTAAACTATGGTTCTTAACATAACTTGATCTTTCTCAGAGAATTCTCCCCATTCACAAACTCGATCACTCGAGTCTTCATTCAGTTTATATATTATGACCTTTCGATTATGTTTATTTATAAATATAGCGTATTTTGCATATTTATTTGCATGGTTGTAAAAGCTTTAAGGGCACATTTCTCCCGCTTGGTATTTAAAAGCCTTTTGTTGTAGAAGAAACAAAGTTTAAATTTAAACAAATGGGTGCAGTATTATATCATATATCAAACGGAGATATTGGTAGAAAGATACATTTCTGGTTCTGCCCATTGTCTTTTTCGATTTTGGTTTTGAGGAACTTTTCGTCAGCAAAATCTGATTGACAGACATTCTTTTTTTTTTTGGAACATTCACAGATCTAGATGGATTTGTACAGTGCGTTTCAAAACTTTAATTGGGCTTATACAAATTAAAAAACTAAATATACAAACCCACAAAATAAATGCTGATTAGGTTTCTTTAAAATTTTAAGCCAGTTTCTGGTATTCAAACTTTATATTTTGTATTTACAACTGTATATTATTTATTTATAAAAAACACACTTTATATATATTTAATTTATTAGTTAAAGGGAATATTTTTATACATCTGCAGGGCTTTAAAGTTCGGTCAGCAACATTTAATTCAGTGAAGAAGTCATTTCCGACTCTATAAAACATATATATTCTTGATCAGAACCAACAGCTGAATCCATCTGGATATGTTTGAACAAAAATACATTTTTGAAATTTTTTCAAAAATTTGACAATTATATAAATTAAAAAATTGTCAAAATTTGGCAAACAATTAACATTTGTAAATTTTAAAACTTATTAAGCAGATTTGTTAGCCCTACAAAACTAGCATAGAACAGTTTTCTGAATTTAAATGTATACATTTTTGGCTTAGTTATGATATTTCAAAACATTTGATTAACCCAAATTAAAATTTAAAAATTAGCATATATAAAAATATAGATTTAATATACCTAGAATACAGTTTTTTTTTATTTCTTTGTTATATTGCTAATTTCAAGAGTATAGAATTTTTAGCTCCTTCAAGTTGACATCCTTTCTTGTTAATATTAGTACTAACTTAAATGATTTTACCTTTTGTTAAACCTTAAAACCTTTTCCTTAAATATCCCCCAATTTAATACTTGAAATGCACTTCATTTTCGTACCGCACTGTACACACTCACACACACATTTACACACATTTACAACTATGTATTGGAGATTTATCAAATCTTGTGTAGGCGTAACAATAGACACCATTTGCATACCAAGGCGGGCACATGTTGCCGGTATTTGGATCGGTCTTTCGGTTGTATAATAAAAACCAATTAGGCATGCCACCGATCCCAAGATCTCTTTGCAGAACACCGTTAGACACTAATCGAGATTAAGGTAGGAGAGTGTGGAGGGGGTTCTCAATCGGTAGCAGGAGCCAACATAATCGCCACCATAAACCATTTTTTACCTGACCATTTCTTTGTTGTTCGTGTTTTGGTTTGATCTGGTTTGCTGTTCAAACAATTGCCAAGAACAAGCAACAAAACACAACTAAGTAGCTGCTACCAATCGCCAAAGCAATTTGCAATAATCAACATTTTTAACAAAACCGAAACCGAAAAAAAATTACTAAAAAGATACAGAAAAAAGGAGCTAGAAATAAACACAAATAGGAAAAACAAAGTTGTAAGCAACGAACAGCAACCGAAAAAAATCGACAACCAAAAGATCACGATAAATCAATGGCAACAACAACATGCAGCAGCAGCAGGAGGAACACATTGTGTGGGTAGGAGGGGTGGCAGCCTAGCAAAGGGGGCGTGGCAGGAGCAAGCTGATACATATATATAAATCTGTATATATAAATTTTATGCCACAACCTCCGAAAGAGCGACACGACATGACCAACGACCAGCAACGACGACGTGCAGCACGAGTTACTCTCTTTTGGCCAAGGAAGGAAGGCCGTGCCACAACCACCTAGCCAGGCACCAGGCACCAGGCACCAGGCCATGTGGCATGCAACACCAGTGATGAGCCAAGGAATAGTCTAGGAACAGTTAAATAGAAAAGGGTTCTTAAAAGGGTATACAAATCAAGACAATACTCAAGCCAAAAGGTCAAAATGAGGGTAAAAAACAGCTTGAAAATGTAATTATACGTATAATAATCCTTTGAAACATTTAAAAATCTAGAAAACTATCAAGAAACATCATTATTATACCCTATAATATATCATAGTTCCCCCACTGAAATAGCCATTTTGGCAACTCTATTGGCATGCAACCCGATGCCAATGTTGGTAACCCGAAAATAGAGGCAGGCACTTGCAGCTGCCACTGGCTGTGGCACCACACCGCACAGTTTAGGAGGTGACCGCTGCCGATCTGGCCAGGAATCTATGCTGATTATTTTCCATTCGACTTGGGTTTTAGCCTTGCCTTGCCTTGGCTTGGCTTGGCTCGTGTGTTTTGGCTGCTGCTGCTCCTCTATAGGAATGGGGAATGTTGGCTAATGGGTGGATTTGGCAGGGAGAGGGAGCTGATGGTGGGGGCAAGGTGGTGCGCCATGTTGGTGGCATGTCTCCGGTTGGTAGTTTGCAGCCGTGTATGAGTTATGGCCATGCCAACCAGATTGTTGGCCACAATTGCTCGACATTGGTTAACATGGATTGTTTCGTTTGGAGATCGGAGAGCATCCCAAAATGAAATTGTTTTCGAAAAATGTTCTCCGATCGGAAGGACAAGGTTTAAAAATATAAAAAAAAAGAATTATGAGGTAGGGAAGTTAAGAACAAGGCTAAGAACTAGATATTGTTTCAGGTAAGATATAGGGAATATTATGGATTAAAGGTAGTAAGCCATATATCATTATCTAAAACATCTTGATTCATTTTTCTACTTAAAAAAGAAAGTACTTCCTTTAAATTTCCTTTTTTAAGTAATTTATTATCTTCACTTCCAAAAGTTATTAACTAATCAAGTATATCCAAATCACTTGTTATAAAAAACCATTTAACAACCCAATAAATGATTTAAATAATTTTATATCTTGAGGCAATATTATAGCTTATATCCGGTTATCCAACTGTAATGTAATTAAAATAATTCCAACACGAAACTCACTCACCATAAAGTGAACTCTCCCAGGCTTCTCACCTGGACTCACCTGGCAGTTGTCGGGACTTGGTTGGTCCTCCTTGGGCAAAAAGCAGTTCCCATGTCAAATCGTATACGTAATCGCATTATGTCCAATGCCCGGCCACTTCCAGATAGAAAATTAACTAAATATCAAGACTTGAATCCGTAGCTTTTGCAGCTGGTTGCTCTGTCCAAGAAGATCTCTCACGGAAGCCACTCATTAGCATGTCAAATAAGCCAACTTGGCTCGGATGCTGTGCTAGACAGAATGACAAATAAGCCAATTGTATGCGACACCTTTTTAGGGGTTCCAGATAATTAAATATTAATGCAAATTTATGAATATCTCATATGAGGCTGATGTCACTTATGCAAAACCCGCTAAATGTTTGCTTCAACATAACTAATCCTTACTTTTCATTCTGTATTTTTCTGTTTTTGGAATAGATCTCGCAGCGCCACGCCCTCCTCGTCATCGTATCGTGGTGGTGGTGGTGGTGGTGTCTCACCCAATCAGCAACATAACCAGCGCCTAAGTCCGCCCAATGCCCCAACTGGTGGCAACACAGCAACATCATCTGGTGGAGCCACCGCCACGCACATGCCGGTGCACAATTTGTCAACGAATTTGCTGAATAGCATTCAACAGGCTGCCGCAAGTCAGCAACATCGCAACAGCAGCAGCAACAGCAGCAGCAGCAACAGCGGCAACAGTGGCAACAGCAACAGCGGCAGCAAGCCGGAAAGTGGAGCGGCATCAAGTGGCGGCGCCTCGGATTTCTCCACTCGCAACTACTCGGACATAATGCGATGTCTGGCGGCCAAGTACAATAATACCAATCCCAATGAGTGAGTAGAGTTGTTCCACAAACACTAAAACAAAACTATAAAGAGAAAGAGTCTCAATAAGACAGTGTTGAAATTATAAAATAATACATCTGATAGAAACTAAAACCTGATAATAATAGAAGAAAATCATGTATTTTTTTATCCTAAACTTTACCCCTTTCATTTCTCTCTGTGCAGCAACAATGCAACACGTCGCAATTCCTATTACGATGGCAATTGCTCTTCATCGCCAGCGGGAACTGGAGGTGGACCCGGATCCGGAGCAGGAGCAGGAGCCACCACCTCTGCCCCAAGCTCTGGTCTCAAATCGTCCAACATCAGCTGCAGCAGCAGCACTAGCACCAGTACCAGCAACAGTTGCCCTAATCCCGCCAAGAAACACTCGCCATCGGCAGCTGGAAATTCCTCTGCCGTCAGTTTGCCCAAGGAGACCAAAGTGAGCGGAGGCGGAGGCGGAGGCGGAGGCGGAGGAGGAGGTGGTACTTTGAGTGTGGGTGGTACAGCAGGTAGTGGTGGTGTTGCCTCGTCCCTGGCACAACTGGTGCCACCACCCGCCGCACCATCGCCCACAGAGCAGGCCAAAAGCCAAATGGCCGCCGTGGTGGCTGCAGCGAGTGTCTCACCGTTCATGACCAACTTTCTGCCCTTCTCATCCGGCATTTTCCCGCCGCTGATAGACATGAGCAGCACTCAGGCACTGCTGACGCTGGTGAGTAAAATCTACAATATTTTCTTAATCAAAGAAAGAACTTATCACCAAAAGGAAACCACAGATATCTAATACCTTCTCTTTCTCCATTTATTTCCATTTCCTCCCGCTCCAAACTCCCAACTCCTTAGGCGCGTGCTGTCAAAGATGCCGAAATCCAACAGATTCTGCGCAGCAAGCAACAGCGTTCCGGGTCCAATGCCTCCTCTCCCAGTACGAGTGCAGCGGGCACGCCGCGTTCCAACTCCACTCTGAATGCGGCACTGCAGCAGGCAGCCCAATTTGTAACCCCCGCCCTCATCTACTCGGCGCAACTGCAGCAGCAACAGCAGCAACATCAACGGCAGCAGCAACAGCAACAGCAGCAGCAGCAACAATCGCATCACGCTTCGCGGCAGTCTAGTCCACGTTCCACCAACGATGCCTCTGGAGTGGCGCCCATGGGGGGAGGTGACGGCGGTGGTGGTGCGTCGGCGGCGCCACTGGACTTGAGCTCCCAACCGCCGGCCGCCAAGCGTTTTAAGGCCGAACGTCGTGCCAGTTCCACGGCGACAACGGCCACCACAGCCTCGGCCACATCCACGCCATCCCCGCCACCATTGGAGCAACAGCAGCAGCAGCACCAGCAGCACGATGAGATCCATTCTGGCAACGCCAACGCAGGAGCAGCATCGGTAGCCGGAGCAGGAACGGGATCGGGAACGGGATCGGGTTCAGGAGCTGGCAGAGCCCGGAGACGGTGTCAGGCGCAGAGTGAGGAGGTGAACTCTTGGTCCGTGGACGATGTGTGCGGCTTTGTGGGTGGAATTGATATATGCGCCGAATATGTTCAGGTAAGCAAAACCGAAAATGCAACATAACATTCTCCCTTTTAAACCATTTATTTGTTGGTTGATTAAGCAAAGTGTGAGTTTGCAGGAGAGAAAGGAGGACTCTCCCTGGTCTCTGAGGTTCAACTAATTGGGTTTTATGGTTTAAATGGCAGGGAGAAATAAATTTGCACCTTAGAAAGTAAAGTGAAATATCTTAGAGGGAATCTATATAGAGTAAATATGAAGAAGAAAAGGGTTTCTCTCTACATAGGGATTTTTAAATCACCAAAACTATGTCTTAGTTAACTTATATAGAAGATTATTTATTATGTAAAAAGATTTAAAACCTTCTTATTTACTAAAGGCCATTAAGGATCGTACATTTCAACAATTTGCTAGACATTCTTGAACCCCTTTTTGCATCAGTCAAAGTTCATTTACCCAAAGGCTATTCGCGGATCGTTTATTTTCACTGATTTGCTGCCTTTTGTTTGAGGGGTTTCCTGTCCAGAAAAAACCGAAACGCAAAGACTAACCAATGTTTTGGGATTTGAACCCCGTCGGTGGCCAGTGTTGAACTCTCTGGCGGCCATTAATATTGTGCCACACGAGCTTCAGCATCGCCTTTGCTGCCACGCTGCTGCGTTCGAGAGGAAAATGCTCCACATAGAGGCATAGGCAATGGTGGCCAGGTGATCTTTACGACCAGTTCCGGCAAGTTGAACGACTTTTGATCGTTGTTCGGTCAGCCTGGGCTCTGCTCTTGCTCTGGATCTGGATCTGGATCTGGTGGCTGCGGCACAAGCTTGGACTCTGAGTGGCCCCGGCTTTTTGCGGTCGACGATCGGTCAACGTCAGGCATCATTACCAGACCCCGTTCAGGATCCTGAACAACCCGGTTCACCGATCACCGATCCCCCTTTAAAGTCCAACGTTCGCGGAACGCGTTAATGGAGTGAAAACATGGCCTAGGTTTCGGTTCGATACCAGAGAGCCATGTACGTGAAGAGTTAACAATTAAGCCGGCAGGATCTAGAGAAGGTGAAGGAGGAGGGAGTAGGAGGTAGGAGGTAGGAGGTAGGAGATAGGAGAAGTGTCTGCTCCAGGTGTTGACACATTTTGATGCATATTAGCCCGCTGAGATGGGGGCCTTGAAAGTCGTCTAATTAGCGCACCGAAAGCGGCTTAGCGTGCATTCAAAGATGAACTAAATCTGCTTAAAAAACATATCATAAAAAAAGAGCGCATATCTCACTGGACCATACCGTGGTGAGCTGATGATGATGGAACCAGTTTGGAGGCCGGTGACGTTGACTCCTCCCCGAGGTTCGCGATAGACAAAAAGGCAATTGGCGTAATATTCAATTGAATTTATGGCCACAACGACACTTGGCCAGCTTTGGCCGACGGTCGTTGTTGGTCGTTGATCGCTGGCTCTTTGGCTCTTTGGCCATTTGGTAGTTGGTTGTTGGTAGTTGGGATCTTGCTCTTGGGCTCGGTCTTGGTCGCCTGAACACCTTTTGTGGTGCAGTTGCATGAACTTGTTCCGCCAGACCTGGGCGATAGAAAAGACCAGCCTCGCTTCAGTCCGTCTTTTGGTTGTTTTTTTCCCCTCCTCGTTGTCGGTCGTTGAGATATTGTGGAGGTTGTAAATATTTAGTGCAGAGGTTGACTCTCGCGGGCCGTGGAAATCTATATGAAGACATTGAGAACTGGTTCAGTGACATTGTCCGACGTTGTCGTTGCGTTGTCGTTGTCGTTGTCGTTGTCGCATCATGTTGCATTCGGACAGAGTTGCAAGTGTTATTGATATTGCCTCTCGACTCCGAGACTCTCGAGCTCTCGAGACTCTCCTCGTCTAGGAGCACGCATGGGTGGCTCGATCTCGATCTCGATCCCCAATGCCGATCTTGGCCTCCATGCCAGGGTTTATTATCGCCAGGGCGCATTCGCCATAAAAATGCAGATGAAGTCATAAGTTGGTCCAGACCAGGCCGGACCCAGAACCCGATCCAAACCCAGATCCCAACCCAAACGCAACGCAGCAGGATGCGATATTTTCTGCATTTTAAATGTTCAGATTTATGGCTATATTAAAGCACAATAATAATTTCTATGCGTGATCAGCGACACGAGCTACGGGATGGGAGGTTGGTCCAAAAGCCACTCCCCTTTAAGGGGGTTTTGTCATGAATTATTCGCTGATTAAGTGCAGCACCAGGTAGCACAGGTGGGTTTGGAATGTGAGGTAAAACTTGATCGATAGAAGATGGCAAGATAGAGCAAGAAATAGGAAATACCTTAAAACATTAATTGGATTTGTTTTACATTCCTTAAACTCTTAAAATATACTTTCATTGTATAACTGGAGTTATTTAATCCTCATAAATAACATTAACTCCAAGCTAGTTAGTGACCCCTGTATCTAAAGTTCATAATCAAACCATTACCCACATCTTCATCTCGTTTCCCTTGAAACTCGAGTTGACTAATTCGCAAATTGTGGCCAGAACATGAAAAGCAAACATCTCTTAAACCCCATTCGCTTTGTCAATCTATCAGCATTCCGCCTTGAACTTATTTGGAGCGAATTAGTTGCTGTCGGTTAATGACAGGCCCGGAATGTTCTATTCAGAGACCAGAGCCAAGAAAACGAGTTCGAGAAGAGAGTCTTGAACCCGAACCCGAACCCGGCTCCACTTTTGGAGGCCTCCATCTTCTCCAACTCCAACTTGGGCTCTGATCTCTGGCTCTCTCCCCCTAGTACTTATTGTATTTGACATGCCAAATGCCAAAAGTACACGTAGGCGTCATAAGATTCATGATTCGCTTGCCCACGATCACCGGGGATCTCTCTTGGATCTCTACGGGTTTAGCTTTCGTGTCGTTCTGTCGTGTTTTTCTGTTTGGGTTCACATAAATGTCAAGCATTGGCAAAAACATGGAGATCAACTCTGGAGCTCTACATTTTGCACCGTGGCTAACGCCCCCGTCAAACTGTGTGTCTCCAGGTCTTCATCCTCCTCTGTGCTCCACTTCACTCCCCCAGCGTATGCATTTCAAAGTCGACCCTATTATTAGGCATAAGGTTTCATCGTTCGAGTAAACATAAACAACGACTGCGAATCCACGTAGTCATCATCATCATCATCATGATCGCACTTGGAGTCTCATATTCAGCAAATGTCAAAAGCAAAAGCAAAAGCAAGAGCAAGAGCTTGGCTCGCACTTGTCACTTGAGCTTGGGCCCGGAGGTCTCCATTGCCGTCCGCACAAACATTCGATTAGATTCTCCCTCTCCCCAGACAAAACCCGCTCCCCGGCTCATTATTTGTTTATCTTAATTCGTATTAAAGTTAGATTTTTTATCGCGCTGGCAACTCGTTACTTTGGCTTAACTCTGGCTTTGAGTATGGATCCGGGGATCGGTTCGAGTTGGAGGCTGGAGGCTGGAGGCTGGAGTGCAGCCTTCTCATCCATAACTGTCACATGGCTGACTTGGGTTTTATTTATTTTTATATTGGCCTTTTGCCCAGGCACTCTTGTGGCTAACTCCTAACCTGGCTAGCTTCCCTCCCCTGGCCTCAACTTGTTAAAGGGAAATTCACAGACAGGGTTTTTGGAAATTGATTTGGAAAGTTGCATTAAAATGCAATTTGTTGGTTTCTCGTTGTGACTCTCTGTGTGTGTTTGGGGAAAAGTGTTATGTGGTGAGTGAGTTGGGGGTTTTTCTTCTTTCTACAGGAAGTATGACGCGGCATTATGTGCCAAAAAAAAAAACAAAAATTGAAATTAATTTTTCGGTTAAGCCGGCAAAGAGTGACAGAGATGTTGAAGAAAAAGCTCAATGATGCAATACTCTTAGATTTGATAGGAGTTTAAGTGAGTTGGGAAATCAGAGAGAGAGATAAGGTTATTAGGAAAATATTTGTTTAAAAGAAAGGTAATACAAGGACACACCATGATCTACTTAATCCCGCTTTTGTAAGAGATTTCCTTATGCAAAATGTATGCAACATATCCAATTAAAATCAGTGAACTCACTCAAAAAACTAGCCTGCAGTTTGTTGCCACTAAACTAACCTCATATTAACGGTGCTTTTCTGTGGCTGCAACTTTCATAGCCCCAAAGAATTGAGGCGATGCAGTTTTGTACCTAGACAAAAAAAAAAAGGAAAACAAATCACCGACTTGCCTAATGATTATAAACGTAACAATCTAGTTTGCGGCGTTGGCGGTCAACGCATTATCAGCAGCAACTGCAACTGCCGCACTCTGCTGCACGGCAGCAAGCAACATTCGAGTCTGCCACAAAAGAGGAACTGGAGGCACGTGCTAAACATGCAACTCCTACTCTTGCCACGGCCAAGGCCCCGCAGACAGCAAGAAAGACAGGCTCTTGGCCTCTCCAGTCTCCAGTCTCCTGCCTCGGACACGACCATTCACTCACTTCCACTTTGTCCTCCTGCTGCTGTCTTGCCCCTCCTGCCTGCCACAAGACCAATATGCTACCATTAATCCATGAATTACTTAAAACCACATTCCGAGCAGCAGCGGGAAGGGAGCGGCAAGTGTTGCAAGGGGCCACATTTAAATTGCCCGCTTACCGCCATATTTCAATATATTTTGGGTCCGCTCGAGGAGACTTTTTTCTTTCGCTGCTTTCCGACCGCCTACGAAACTAAGAGTTGAAAGGTCTCGACCAAGGGAATACCTGGTATTTAATATAAGGTATATTTTATATACACAAAATAAGTATTTGTATTTTATTTACAAAGATTAATTTCAGATGTAACTCTTTGCTTTCTAAATTACAAGGTTAAAGTACAAGGTTACCTTATTTCCATTACTATATATTTTACTATATTTTCTTAATTTATATTTTACGATACTTACTACTACTATTTACCATATATTCCATTTAAAGGGTATCAAAATTGTCCAACTACACCCACATTCTTGCCTCGCGTTTGGCGTCCTGTCTTTACTTTTTTTTCTCTCTTTTGGTTTTTGATAATGTT